AAAAAATTTCAAAAACCCCCTTCCCTTCAAAGAAATTCATTCCTAAAGTTTAAAGAAAAAAAAAATTCATTTCAAAAAAATTCAAAAAAAAAAAATTCATTCTTAAAGTTCTAAAGATGTTGACTCCTTAATCTTGTACTACAAAAAAACCGAATAACAACATTCCACTTCTGCAGCCTTCACCAAAATTCGAGATAAAGTGCAAAAGAACCTTACACCTTCAGTAAAAAAATTTCTTTCTAAATCCCTCGCCAAGGTACTCGGAAGAAAAATAGCGTAAAATTTCAATTAAAAACCAAAAGCAATGAAAATAAAATGCAGAAGAAACCTTACAGACGGAACACATATTTTTCAAATCCTTCAGATACATGTCGACAAATACAGCTTTTAACCATCGACAGATACGACAAGATACCTACATACCAAAAACTAATCCTCAAAAAGAAGAGGAATGACTTCCCAGTAAATCAACAGCGACTAAAATGCAACCATCGAACAGTGTATTTGTGCTTGGGCACTTGCCTGAATAGTTGCAAAAGTCATTATAAAGTCACATAACACGCCGTGTATAATGCCTAAAAAACTTAAGCCGACATTTCTAAAACCAACACGCAAACGAAAAGGAAGGAAGAAAACACTACGGATCTTTGTCAAATTCACCCTAAGCCTCTTCAGCCCCATCTGAATCAGTCCAAAATCAAAAAAAAACCTCCACTAATACGCAACACGGAACCCAACGTTTTCTGCGATCGATTTATAGTAGCAAAAAGAGAAAACTTATCCGCTCTTTATAAACAGACAACGTTAACAAAAGGGGTCGAAACAGAAGATGCAACCAACAATCGTGCAAAAAATTTTCCTACAAATCACAAATTCGACAAAAAACCTCTCCCAGCAGTAGTACAAACTCTCTCGTGTAAGTCGAACCTAACCGATAAATCCAACACAGCAACAATCCCCACGACAAACACAATAAGTACATGAATGTTGGCACTTCTATACGCATTCTCTCTTTTGCTCTCGCCCTCCTTTTACTTTAGGAAATCGGTGAATGGTAAAAGTGCACTTCAAAAAACAGACAAAATAATGCCCTAACTAAAAAAATTATAGACATGCTGGTGGAAAAAAATGTACCACTTTCCACCCAGTCTGCAATGTAACACTCGAAAACCGGAACGCCGCACACTGCGCGCCAGATCCTCTAGCTCCTGCTTTCTGCTTAACAGAAAAGCAAAAAAACATTAAAAAGTAAACGAAGAAAAGAAAGACAAATGAAAATTCCTGCTTACTTTTACATATTTCACAACAACCGATACCGTCCCAATTTGCCTGTTTTTTTTTTATCACTTATAAACAAATAACTGTGAGCATGCCAACTAAAAAATAGCAAAATTCAACAAACTGAACTTTAAAGTACTATATGCACATTACTATCAACATAATTCTGCAAAAACAACTGCAGCTGATCGCTCCTGTCGCCAACGATGTCAACAACTTTGTTGTTACTAACCTCTGTATATATAACAGCAGCTACTTGTCGTCTGTTGAGACGTCTGCATCTAAAATAGCTGATATTTGGACTTGGATTTGGTGACATTCATGATCACTTTCATCACCATCAATTAATCATGACGTTTAAATAACTGTCAATTTATAGCGACTTCTATAACCAATAATCCAAGGAGAAGGAAGAAAAAACGTCCAACTAGTTCAGATGGCTGCCAGTAAATGTTTCTTTCGCAACCGTACAGAAGAAATAACAAAACCGTAACTTACCTAACCCTGTACCTTCACTACGACCAAACATTCAACACCAACCAATTTGAGCAATGATGATTCCTACAAAGTTGAGAGTGAATTTCCCAAAATTTAAAAATTCACTTACCGTATAACCATTTTAAATCATTGCTTTCAAGACCTAAACTTTCAGGTTAATTTTTTATTGTAGCAGCCCTATATTCCGTCAATTTTTTTTGTCTTCTTATTATTATTATTATTATTATTATTATTATTATTATTATATTATTATTATTATTATTATTATTATTATTATTATTATATTATTATTATTATTATTATTATTATTATTATTATTGTTTTTATTTTTGTTTTTATTTTTATTATTACTACTATTATCACTATTATTATTTGTC